GACTAATAATTTATATATATATATATATATTTATATATATATATATTTATATGTATATAGAAAATCATTAATGCCATCAAAACAAATAATTTATATAATGTAAGAGAGATGCCGCTATAGTAGTCTTTACAAGTTATGAGTGAAAATAAAAAAAAATTAAGATTTTATGGTATTTGTATATATAATATATATGCAATATGATTTAATAATCTAAATTACTTTAATATCATGTAATGACTAATAATTTATATATATATATATATATTTATATATATATATATTTATATGTATATAGAAAATCATTAATGCCATCAAAACAAATAATTTATATAATGTAAGAGAGATGCCGCTATAGTAGTCTTTACAAGTTATGAGTGAAAATAAAAAAAAATTAAGATTTTATGGTATTTGTATATATAATATATATGCAATATGATTTAATAATCTAAATTACTTTAATATCATGTAATGACTAATAATTTATATATATATATATATATTTATATATATATATATTTATATGTATATAGAAAATCATTAATGCCATCAAAACAAATAATTTATATAATGTAAGAGAGATGCCGCTATAGTAGTCTTTACAAGTTATGAGTGAAAATAAAAAAAAATTAAGATTTTATGGTATTTGTATATATAATATATATGCAATATGATTTAATAATCTAAATTACTTTAATATCATGTAATGACTAATAATTTATATATATATATATATATTTATATATATATATATTTATATGTATATAGAAAATCATTAATGCCATCAAAACAAATAATTTATATAATGTAAGAGAGATGCCGCTATAGTAGTCTTTACAAGTTATGAGTGAAAATAAAAAAAAATTAAGATTTTATGGTATTTGTATATATAATATATATGCAATATGATTTAATAATCTAAATTACTTTAATATCATGTAATGACTAATAATTTATATATATATATATATATTTATATATATATATATTTATATGTATATAGAAAATCATTAATGCCATCAAAACAAATAATTTATATAATGTAAGAGAGATGCCGCTATAGTAGTCTTTACAAGTTATGAGTGAAAATAAAAAAAAATTAAGATTTTATGGTATTTGTATATATAATATATATGCAATATGATTTAATAATCTAAATTACTTTAATATCATGTAATGACTAATAATTTATATATATATATATATATTTATATATATATATATTTATATGTATATAGAAAATCATTAATGCCATCAAAACAAATAATTTATATAATGTAAGAGAGATGCCGCTATAGTAGTCTTTACAAGTTATGAGTGAAAATAAAAAAAAATTAAGATTTTATGGTATTTGTATATATAATATATATGCAATATGATTTAATAATCTAAATTACTTTAATATCATGTAATGACTAATAATTTATATATATATATATATATTTATATATATATATATTTATATGTATATAGAAAATCATTAATGCCATCAAAACAAATAATTTATATAATGTAAGAGAGATGCCGCTATAGTAGTCTTTACAAGTTATGAGTGAAAATAAAAAAAAATTAAGATTTTATGGTATTTGTATATATAATATATATGCAATATGATTTAATAATCTAAATTACTTTAATATCATGTAATGACTAATAATTTATATATATATATATATATTTATATATATATATATTTATATGTATATAGAAAATCATTAATGCCATCAAAACAAATAATTTATATAATGTAAGAGAGATGCCGCTATAGTAGTCTTTACAAGTTATGAGTGAAAATAAAAAAAAATTAAGATTTTATGGTATTTGTATATATAATATATATGCAATATGATTTAATAATCTAAATTACTTTAATATCATGTAATGACTAATAATTTATATATATATATATATATTTATATATATATATATTTATATGTATATAGAAAATCATTAATGCCATCAAAACAAATAATTTATATAATGTAAGAGAGATGCCGCTATAGTAGTCTTTACAAGTTATGAGTGAAAATAAAAAAAAATTAAGATTTTATGGTATTTGTATATATAATATATATGCAATATGATTTAATAATCTAAATTACTTTAATATCATGTAATGACTAATAATTTATATATATATATATATATTTATATATATATATATTTATATGTATATAGAAAATCATTAATGCCATCAAAACAAATAATTTATATAATGTAAGAGAGATGCCGCTATAGTAGTCTTTACAAGTTATGAGTGAAAATAAAAAAAAATTAAGATTTTATGGTATTTGTATATATAATATATATGCAATATGATTTAATAATCTAAATTACTTTAATATCATGTAATGACTAATAATTTATATATATATATATATATTTATATATATATATATTTATATGTATATAGAAAATCATTAATGCCATCAAAACAAATAATTTATATAATGTAAGAGAGATGCCGCTATAGTAGTCTTTACAAGTTATGAGTGAAAATAAAAAAAAATTAAGATTTTATGGTATTTGTATATATAATATATATGCAATATGATTTAATAATCTAAATTACTTTAATATCATGTAATGACTAATAATTTATATATATATATATATATTTATATATATATATATTTATATGTATATAGAAAATCATTAATGCCATCAAAACAAATAATTTATATAATGTAAGAGAGATGCCGCTATAGTAGTCTTTACAAGTTATGAGTGAAAATAAAAAAAAATTAAGATTTTATGGTATTTGTATATATAATATATATGCAATATGATTTAATAATCTAAATTACTTTAATATCATGTAATGACTAATAATTTATATATATATATATATATTTATATATATATATATTTATATGTATATAGAAAATCATTAATGCCATCAAAACAAATAATTTATATAATGTAAGAGAGATGCCGCTATAGTAGTCTTTACAAGTTATGAGTGAAAATAAAAAAAAATTAAGATTTTATGGTATTTGTATATATAATATATATGCAATATGATTTAATAATCTAAATTACTTTAATATCATGTAATGACTAATAATTTATATATATATATATATATTTATATATATATATATTTATATGTATATAGAAAATCATTAATGCCATCAAAACAAATAATTTATATAATGTAAGAGAGATGCCGCTATAGTAGTCTTTACAAGTTATGAGTGAAAATAAAAAAAAATTAAGATTTTATGGTATTTGTATATATAATATATATGCAATATGATTTAATAATCTAAATTACTTTAATATCATGTAATGACTAATAATTTATATATATATATATATATTTATATATATATATATTTATATGTATATAGAAAATCATTAATGCCATCAAAACAAATAATTTATATAATGTAAGAGAGATGCCGCTATAGTAGTCTTTACAAGTTATGAGTGAAAATAAAAAAAAATTAAGATTTTATGGTATTTGTATATATAATATATATGCAATATGATTTAATAATCTAAATTACTTTAATATCATGTAATGACTAATAATTTATATATATATATATATATTTATATATATATATATTTATATGTATATAGAAAATCATTAATGCCATCAAAACAAATAATTTATATAATGTAAGAGAGATGCCGCTATAGTAGTCTTTACAAGTTATGAGTGAAAATAAAAAAAAATTAAGATTTTATGGTATTTGTATATATAATATATATGCAATATGATTTAATAATCTAAATTACTTTAATATCATGTAATGACTAATAATTTATATATATATATATATATTTATATATATATATATTTATATGTATATAGAAAATCATTAATGCCATCAAAACAAATAATTTATATAATGTAAGAGAGATGCCGCTATAGTAGTCTTTACAAGTTATGAGTGAAAATAAAAAAAAATTAAGATTTTATGGTATTTGTATATATAATATATATGCAATATGATTTAATAATCTAAATTACTTTAATATCATGTAATGACTAATAATTTATATATATATATATATATTTATATATATATATATTTATATGTATATAGAAAATCATTAATGCCATCAAAACAAATAATTTATATAATGTAAGAGAGATGCCGCTATAGTAGTCTTTAAAAAAAAAAAAAAATTCTCCAATAATATCTTACAACTAAAAAAATGTACATAAAAATCCACTTCCCAAACACCCACATAATGTGATCTTTTGTTTTTTTAGATGGGCATATAATGTGATCTTTATGTGGTTAATTAAAGCATTTAATAATGTTATACTTAACAATATTTATCTAACATACTTTTTTATTATTTTATTTATTAATATAATATTAGTGTAATGAGTCTTACCATTAATATATATCTGTAATATAATAACTGAATTTACATATCAAATGACAAAAATAGATAATTATTATACTATTACTTAAAAACATTATGTGGATTATAATTTTATGTATATAATTGTCATCATTCTTAATTTTATGTATAAAATTTTGTTCATAAATTATTTTTAATTATTTTATTTTGAAAAGCATCTCCACCAAACCGACATAACATCCACATACAAAACAGTGATTGGTCCACACCTTTCTCTAGCATTAATTAACAATTAATCATATAAAAACTTAAAAGACTCAAAAGGGACTGGTAATCTGATAAAAGTGAGACATAACCTTGAGTTTTATATTTGCATGGGGGGCATACAAAGATTGTGACATGAAACTATAGTCTGGTCTATGTTTTACAATTACAAGATCTTATAGGGATAAGTAAAAATAATATAAACAAATAAAGAAAAAAAAAAAAGAGGGAAGCTTATGCTCAAAGCACACCTCCCTTTTTACCATCTCTCCTCTTTATATAAATTTAATTCCCAAAGTAAAGAAGCAAAGAATCTCTTCTTTCACAACACCACCTTGCCTTCCTTGCTTTCCCCTGTAAGTATCCCTCCTTTCCTTTGCTTACAATTGAGAACTTGCCCTCATTCTTTCTGTTTCATTTAATATATTCTCTGTATATATAACTTTTTTATCTGCAAAATACCCACTTAAAGTTTGGAATCTCTTCTAGTTCACCCATTAATTTGGGTCAAATTCTTTATGGGTTTTTAGTTGTTAATGAGTCCCTTTCATTGGTCAATATCAAATGCACTTGTTCTGTTTGTTGATATATATGTATGAGAAATTCATTCATGATTGGGATCTTCCTCATTCATTTCTTCTAAAATGTGGTTTGATTGCACTATTGGGTTGTGGTGGCTAAGTTCTTGTTGGGTGTTGAGTCTTCATGAGCCACTGAATCATTGTTTTTGTGGGATTTTGATGTCTGGTTCGAGCATTTGAGCTTCGCATTTGTTCAAAGTTACTCTTCCATTTTACTTGCAAAACTATTGCAAATGGTCTTATCACAGATCATATTTGAAGCTTTGCTTTTAAAAATCCACCTGGGTTTTGGTGTTTCTCATTTCCAAGTTTCGGGTTTCCTACAAGTTTAGATGCTACAATGGAAATCAATTCATCAAATTTGTCCTGGATTTCTTTTGTTTTTAAACATTATACACAGTAAAGGCACATAAAATATTTTATTTATTTATTTTTCATCTAAAATCACCACTGAGAACTGTTTGAAAAAATCATTTGTTTCAAATTTTGTCTAGGTCGCTTATTTTTTTAATTAAAGATTAGTTTTATCACTTTTTTCCCATTTGGAAATACATGCCCATTGAATCAAATCATAGACTGAGAGGAACAATCAGAGAAGTAGAAGTGACAGCATGGCTTTCTTAACAGGATCATCAGGAAATTCTTGGCAGCCAGTCATGACTGCCGACACAACCACACCAAGTTACTGGCTGAACTGGAGGGTCATGCTTTGTATCATTTGGGTGTTGTTGTCATTGATTATTACATCCCTTCTTATTTCAAAATACGAAGGACCACGCAAATCGAGACACAGAAATAGAGAATCCCAGGAAGAGCCGGCAGGACTACTGTACGAGGATGAGGTTTGGAAACCGTGTCTGAAAGGAATACATCCTGCTTGGTTGCTGGCATTCCGAGTTGCTGCGTTCTTTGTTCTTTTGTCTCTACTGATTGCAAATGCGGCTGTTGATGGTGGTGAAATATTTTACTTCTATACTCAGTAAGTAGTCCCTTTTATTGGTTTTTATCTCATTCATTACAAAGTCTTGCACATAGTTATTGACATAGTTATTGGTTTTTATCTCATTCATGATTGTCAAAAGTATAGACATATCCTACTTTTATCAAACTCTCTCTTATACATTTAAACAATAGCATTTCTTGTAAAGGGTATTTTTATTTTAGCATCATTGGAAATGAAATCAACATGTAGATTTTCACATAACAGAGATGGCAGCTTTTGCTAATTAAAGAATTTTATAGAACAATTTTGATATACTACAAAATTGTGCTTTGGATTCACTATGAGTTTGCTTTGGCGAATTAAAGAAAAGAAAAAAAAAAAAAAAAGGTTAAAAGGAGATTTCTCTCTCTTTTCTCTCTCTTTTCTTTTTCTTTATTGAGAGAGTCAAAAGAATACTTGAGTAGAATGATAGCATAAAATAGGTTAAATATTAAAATATGCATCACATCAAGGTAGTTTTTATTTATTTATTTTTAATGCCAGTATTAAGTTTATTACATGTGGTACAATTTCATCATTGTTTATCATAGGATTTAATTGGTGAAATTGGATATTGGACAGGTGGACTTTTTCACTGATAACCATTTATTTTGGGGTATGTTATACATCCTTATACATCCTTCTATGTGATTCTTCCCTCCCCCCCGCCCCCCCCAATTTACATGACACATATCATTCTAGATCTATGCTTGAATCAATTTCTTTTTATATGTCATTGCTCATGGACTTCACTTGCATAACTGCACTTGTAGCTTGGATCATTGCTTTCCATGTATGGATGCTACCAATATCATAATAAAGTTGGTGGCGATAGAACCGAGGATTTTGATGTCGAGCAAGGCACTAATTCAAATGAATCTAATGGGGAAAAGCACTCGGAATCCAATCAAGAACATCGAGTTCGCCAAACTGCAGGATTTTGGGGTTATATCTTTCAAATAGTTTTCCAGGTAAACCCCTAAAAGCCAGTAATTGCAATTGAAGAGTTGTGAATCACCGATTTAATATCCCTTCTTAATCCTTTAGCCTTTTTGTTGCCCAAAGATACTGTTTGGTATTAAAGAAGCTTGCATCATAGTTTTTTCCTATTTCAGGAGCTCAGTATTGAAAAAGAAAAATAATAAATTGATTAATTAAGCACAAAATAAGAAACATAATAGCCTTGTTGCACATAGTTATTGACCTTTTATTTTTCTCTTCAATAGATGAATGCAGGTGCAGTGATGCTCACGGACTGCGTCTTTTGGTTCATAATTGTACCTTTTCTGGCAATCAAAGATTACGATCTGAATTTTGTAAGTAATAAAATCCACACCTAGTCAAATTGTGCAACTATAACTATACGACAGATTGTATCAAAGCAACATTTTTGCATAATTTAGCATAGGGTTATGTAGTCTCATAGATGCAGGGTATTTTCTATTTCAATAACATAAAACTTTTAATATCATTAGATATATATATATATATAACTACATGAAATCAACCTCTTATGTGTCAATTTCTAAATCATTTAGCTTCCTTGAGTAAAACCCATATGGTGCAAAGTTGATACAATGCAAATCCATAAGATTCATCATCAAAACTTCTGTTTGTCTTCTAAACAGTGTGCTTAATCTTTGATGTGGCAGTTGATTATAAATATGCATACCATCAATGCTGTTTTTCTGCTCGGCGACACTGCTTTGAATTGCTTGGTATGTTGCAGCTCTTTTATCTTGATTTCAATTCCTATTTTGCTTCACAATTTAATCTTTTAGACTTGTATTTCTCTTCCAGCGGTTCCCTTGGTTTCGAATTGCATACTTTTTCCTGTGGACTGCTGTTTATGTCATGTTCCAATGGATCGTCCATGCCTGCGTTTCGCTTTGGTAGACTCGTCTCCTTTTTAACACTCTTTTCTTTTTACTACAAAAATCTCACTTCTAATTTCCTATAACTGCAACTATTTGCAACAGGTGGCCATACCCTTTTCTTGATTTGTCATCTACATTTGCTCCACTATGGTATGTAATCAATCTTAAGAAATCACTCCTTTGATTTATTAAGAAAAAAGTCCTTTAAATTTTATGCTAATGGTTCATGCGATCAATCTCTTTGGCAATGATTTGTTGCAAATAGCAGCAAAATTTGCTTATGTTCAACTTGAGAGATATTAAGCATTTTTGAAACTAAAATATTATCATAATGTCTCCAATAGACTGAAAATGAAAAAATAAAAAAATACCAAAAAATGGACAGAGAAGTAATGATCTTTTTAGATACACTCGAATATGATATATGGCATTTTGTCGCAGCCATCTAAAATTTGGAATGGCCTGAAATTAATCTCTCTTCCTTTTTTTTTCCCCACTATTCTCGTAAATTAAAATTACCTACGTAATTTACTAATTTGCAAATTATTATGCCCACCGGAAAATAATTCTAAGACAAAATATGCTTATTTTCATTACCATGAACTGATTCTCTTCATTCCCACTCTTGAATTTTCCCCAAAATCTTTGCTATGCTTTTTATCAAATTTGATGTTGGACAATTTCATTAAGTAGTTCATTATTATTTTATGTACCTAACTGAATGATCAAAGTGCTAATCAGTCTTGTCTCTGCTAAAATGGGATATGCAGGTATTCATCAGTGGCTTTGATGCATATACCATGCTTTGGCATTTTTGTGTTGGTAATGAAGTTAAAACACACTCTACTCTCAAAATGGTTCCCTCACACCTATCAATGTGTGAAAACATAATTCATACGATAGCTGCTCTGAAAACTGAACGAGTTTTGTGGTCCAAGAGGGAGCATGAACAGAAAGAGGAAAAAAATCTGCAGAGATGATCAAGAAGGCATATATGGCTTCCACATTTCCACAACTCAAATAGGAAAAACTGAAAATGTATTAAATTTTGCTTAGAATGATTCACAGATATGATTTTACAGTGAAAACAATTTTTATTTTATTTAGTTTTGGTTCATATAACCATTCTTAACAGGAGTGGCTTATAAATTGTAACTACATATACATACACATTGAAGAAAAAGAAGGGCTGGTTTATTTCCATGGGCTTCCTTGCTTGTTTAGTTTTTAAGGGCATGTTTGTTGCGGTTTATTCTAAGTTGAAAGTTGGTAGTCTACACACATGATCTAAAAGCACCCTCCCCTAATTTCAGAATAATCAACTTTTTCTGTTGTATAAAAGAAAATTGAAAAAAGAACACGCAATGCAGAAAGAAAAATATATAATTCTGTTATCTGAAATTGCGATACAAACTGGTAATAAAAGTAAAATAAATAAATAAATAAAAGTTCAGCAGCCCCCGATTATTTAGCCGACCACCCAAGTTCAAAGTTCAAACAAACAATTTACCTATTTCTTGGCTTCCAAGCTAAAATACAGCAGTAATCTACAATTACAAGCGATCATAGGGAGGTGTGTTTGGTAAATAACCTATTAAATTTATAGTATCACTATCTTTAGGCCCCCATTACTTTTCCTCTGCCTTGCCTCAGTAAAGAGTCTGGAGAGAAATCCCATGGTAGAATTGGAATCTGGTTTTGAAGCTTGCGATCTTCCTGAACCAAGGATTATGGAAAGTCAATTTACAAGATCTACACTGTTCAATTTGTCAATCCCCCAAACAAACACAACCACTTTGCTTCCATAAAGCCATTCCGTATTAAGGTAGTGTTTGGATCATGAATTTGAAAAGGAAAAGGAAAAGGTGATGGAAATGGAGAAAAAAAATTAGCTAATATGGCATTCACAGTTCGCTGACTTTTTCCTTTCTCTCCACAAATCCTTACCCAAATCCTAGATCCAAGTGTAGCCCAAGTATGTAACCAGGGTGTTTTATTTGATTGAAGTTGCAGTAATAGCTACCATACATAACGGGAAATTTTACAATCTCATGTTTCTTTTATGGTTCAACAAGGCCAACAAGAATGTTCTACCTAGTCTGTCATGTTCATTGTTTAGGCTCATTGTAGATTACATTTTCTTTTGTACAATCCATATTTTTTTCTTCTTCTTGTAATTTCTCTAAGCTATGGTATCCTCGAAAATCTGATAAATGTAGGATTTCTTGGTCTGCATTAGGGATATCTTTTGACAGGAAGGTATGGGGATAGTCGATACAAAATCAATTGAATCAATCCAAGCTTCATTATCTTTGTTTGGTGAGAGAAGCGATCATAGGAAAAACCGGTTTACCAGCTGCGATGTATGTTGGGAATGCACAGTATTTGGAGTTAATATTGTGATTAATCAAATTAAATTTGGACTGTTTGTTCATCTGTTGATTTAATTTTAGATCTGAACTAATAGATGAAAGCTACAACTTTGGTGAACTTATATCTTGGTAAATCCTGTTTAATATGATGTTATGTTTGAAAAGTTTTATCAAATTCTATATAGATGTGGGGATTATGAATAGTACTATGTCCTGTGGTTTGAATTTGGATACTATAGTGTACTGCTTGTCTGTGTCTGACACGTGTCAGATCGTCAAACACTTGTCGATTCCAAAATGTGTTGTATACATGTCCAAACATGTCATTATTTTTTTAGACATAGACTCGATTAAGAAACAAGTGAAACACATTACAAGCTTCAAAATAATAACTTACGATCTAATGAAAAAACAAAAGCAATGTGCATTTATACTTATTAACCCATCTTCTTTAGACTTTGAAAAATCATGATCTGTTGCATATTTTTATTCAGTTTGAATTGAAATATTCATATCTATATGTGTGTCTTACATGTCCTGTCTTGCATTTGAGAAAATTATCATGTCACGTGTCCGTGCTTCTGAGATAGCAGTCTTAAATTATGGGACAATTAAGATCCCCAATAATATTGATCAATGGATGATAAGATGTTTTCTATTGCCGTTGTTGATAGGAGTTGGAGAGGAAGAAAGAGCTTGAAGGCCTGATGAAGGACATGGCCAACTACAACGTTCAACTAGAAGGAAAGGGCTCTGCCTACAGGCAAGCCCTTCTCAAACTAAACCACTATCAAAAAACAGCTAATGAACTTTCCATCCTAGTGAAGAGTTCTGAGATTGAGAAAGATATATCAATGAATGCAGAGAAGGTCGGATGAGAGTGCACGAACGTGAATCCGAGATGGCTGATATATCTGATCAACAATCCAAAACTAAAATGATGCGAGAACAACTTTCTCATTTTATGAATGAGTTGAAGACTTCATGACAAGAGCTACTTATAATGGAAACAGATCTCACTGCTGCCATAAACACGAAGCTTGAGGCCTTGACACAGGTAGAATTGATGGAAACTGAATTGCAAATGGAGAAGGGAATGACTGATGAGCTTTTGAGGCACGTGTCAGAGCTGAATGAGGCTGTTATGCATTCAAAGATGGCATCTAATGAAGGACAGAAAGAGATTCATGTTGTTCTAGTGGAAAAAGTAACTGAATTAGCATTGGCAACAACAACAGTGGTTGAAGCAGAGGAAAAGTTGGAATATATGAGAAAACTATTAGAAGTAATGCAGGATTTGGAGAATCAGCTCATGAACAAGTTTGTTTTTATCGATTCACTACAGTCGGATCTCAATCAGGCGAATGAGCTACGTGGGTCCTTTGAGAAAAGAGCTTCTAATGCCATTAGTGAGTTAAATACGGTAAAATCAAAGTTCAAAATGCAGGAAAGAAAGAGCTCAGATCAGTTGGGTAATATTGAGTTTTTGCAAATGGAGTTGAATCAGTTGAGACTAGAACTTAAAAATTGCAAAGGAAGAGGTGGAGCGCTTAGATTCGGACACTAAGAAGATGGAAGGTGAATTAGAGAAGGCGAGAAATGAGATGGAATATTAGAGGAAGAGAGAAGGTAGCGCAAGTTGAGATAGTGATGTTGAAATATGAGGTTCATAAAGGGCGGTTGAGAATTGTTGCAGCTAAGGCAGCTGAAGCAAGGATCAAGAGCCGAGGCAGACGAGTCCAAGAAAGAGAATTGGAGGCTAAAAGAAGAGTTTGATAACTCTGTTGTTAATGAATATGGAAGAGACAAAAGCAATGCTTGTATCAAGATTTCAAAGGACGAGCATGAGGCCTTGATTGAGAATGCAGAGAAAGTTACTGAGCTTGTGCCAGAAAATTACTACGAATTGGAAAATTCGAAGAAAGAGTTGGAAATTGCAATGGTGAAAATCGCATAGTTTAGGAATAGAGCGGAACAGGTTGTCAGTAGAGTCGAGGCAGCTGAGAAAGATCAGATGAGGAAAGCAGAAGCAGAAGTAGCTTTAGTTATGAGTAGCCTTCTAAAAACTATCAGCCGCTCGGTAAGGTTCTTAGCATGAAATTCTAGTCTCACAACTTAAATCGTTGAGGTTTATTGATTTTGCCTTTCTATTTTTTCTTCACCCAAAATAGAAAAAATAGATAAATAAATTGTGTACGAACGGGAAGAAACTGCACATTTGTCTTGCTTTAAGTGGGTGATATCTGATGTCCTGTCCTGTTCATGAACATTTGTCAATTTTTTTTTTTATCAGCAAACATTTGTCAATTTTATCATGCAAAAGTTGAATGAAGTATGTGAGGTTACAAATTGCACAAATGCTCTTGTTTCTATTTGCTTGCTTTCCACAACATTTTGAATTGCCGACTTTGGGCTTTCAATTTTTATATGCATATATGATAACTATGTTAAAACAATTCAATTTTTTCGTAATTAGAGTGCCGTAAGAATATTACATTTGATGTTGTAAATACCATCACCAGCTCTATAGGAATAAAAATTGACAAAAAAAACCAAACATGCATAGATAGGACACTAACGGGCGAGGGGCCAAATTGCCATTCAAATGCCCTAGTGCTACTATAATTGTGAACTGTCTCGAAAAAGAACAAGAAAGGCAGCCTTGCAGAACAATAGTTTAGGGTATGAAACATGGCAAAGATGAGCCTGAACTTGACACATAAGTCCTTTTGTATCCTGCAAAAGATACCTAACCGCGTCTTCCGGGTTGGTTGGGGGATTTGGGAAAGGATTTGGAAAGGGAAATGAAAAATGTGTGTGAAACTATGTGAAATTTAGGTATATTTTATTCACATTTCACCTACCTTTTTCATTTACATTTCAAAATCCCTCATCAAATCCTCCCACCAAACACAATTATGAGTATCACGATTCCACAGAATCCACTTGCAATAGAGGCCATTATCATAATGAAGAGCACAAAATATATGCTCAATTTTGTTGAAAAATGGAAGGAGTAACAATGGGTTGCCAGGATAAGACTCATATCCAAATGTTGGCAACTGTCCATTTATTGGGATTATGCTACTGATGTATGGATTGTAAGAAACATTGAACTTGCTCAACTCAGTTAAATTGTTCAAGCTGACTGGGAAAGTTCTAGAGAAATTGTTATATGACAAATCAAGGTTTTGTAAGCATTTGATGTCCCAATTTGTATTAGAATTTCACAAAAAACTTGTTTTGCGAAATGTTGAGCACTACAAATGGCATTAGTCCAATTCTTGGAGGGAAATCACCGTGAAATCTATTGATTGCCAAATACAACATACTAAAGTTTTGCATGTGACCAATCTCAGGTGGGACCTCATTGGACAACTAACCGGTGATCCAAAATGTCTGCAAGCCACTAACACACAAGGGGAATATGCCATACCCATTAAGAAACCTATCCCAAAGGCTTCTACAACTCTTCCTTGTAAGAATTGTATACATAAAAGCAAGTGGAGGATAGTTTGTCAGTATCCACCTCTTCATCGCCATGCACTCACCTGAAATAGTAGTAACTCGATCATTCTGTTGATTTTGCTCAAACGTTGGCATTGAATTCATACCAATGTTCGTCAACTGGAGTGGGAATGGCCTAGAAAGTTGATTGTTCATGAGGTGTAACCATAGCAAGCTCTTATAATTCCCCAACTCTGGTGGGATTTCACCGGTTAGCGCATTGTTGGCAACCATCAACCACAAGAGTGAGCTCAAGTTTCCAAAGTTGTTGGAATTGACCCATTAAGCCTATTGAAGGATAGATCAAGAGCTTGGAGGCCTTGCAAATTTCCATACTCAAGAGGGATATTTCTCGTAAATTGTAAATTGATTGTAAGCAAGAATCAAGAACTTCAAACTCGTCATTTGAGAGAATTTGACTGGTAATGAACCAAAAAATTTGTTAAAGCTGAGGTCTAATCTAGGAATGTTCTTCAAGTTGAGAATTCCCAATGAATTTATGCCACTAGTGTACGAATTTGAATGTAGTATAAGAAACTTAACCTGTGTAAATCACCCGAAAATTTCTTGTATGTCACCTTTAAAATTGTTCAAGCTCAAATCCAAAAATGCCAAGTTTCTCAACCCAAGCAAAGACTTTGGAATTTTTCTTCTAAAAATATTGTTTTCCAAATAAAGTGCTTCCAGATTTGAAATATCCCCAATCTCCACCGGAATTTGACCTGTGAAATTGTTTCCCCATAAATTCAAGACCACCAATCCTCTACAGTTTGAAATTTCCTTAGAAACCCCTCCAGCAAAAGCATTTTCCAACAAGTCCAAAACTTGCAGAGTACAGATCTTGGGAAAAATTACAAGTAAAACCACTCGAACTAACAAGTTTTTAAGACACTAAGAATTCCCAAAGATATGAAATTGTTGGTGCTCAGGTCAAGAAATTGCAGTTTCAAGCACTCATTGAAGTCATTAAAGATTGTGCCAGTGAAATTGTTGGTTGATGAATTGGGTAGAACCAAACTATTACACATTGCTGGGAAAGTTAATTGAATTCCATTGAAGATTCGGTTGGTGGACAGGTCAAGAACCTCCAATCTATTGAGTCCTGTCAAATTGAGCTCACCGTTGATGATGTTATGAGATAAGTTTAACACTTTCAGGCTCTGGAACTGGCCTAAGTCAGCCAAAAATCCCCCGAGAATGGTGTTCCTAGAGAGGTCGAGGTGGGTGATGGTGGTCAAGGAACCGGAGAGGTCAATGCCGATGATGCAACCGCCTTTGCACGAAATTCCAGGCCAGACGCATGGAGACAAGGTTTGCTCCTAACTTAGGTATGAGAAGGGAAGGTTATGAATTGAGCACCCCATTCACCCGATCAAAGATCGGCCTCTACTAATCATGATGTGATTCTTATGTACAGTATTTGCTTTTGTTCCGATTATTATGCTATCTTTACTATGTGATGCACACAAGTATAAACTAATTCGCAAAATTTGGAATGCTTTGATTTTATGTTTGTTTGAAAATTGTTTTGAATATGCGCCACTTGAAAAAGCGAACTCATATGTACATTAATCAAATTATTCTAACTTAAGCGAAAAAGCTTTCATCCACAGGCATTCAAATAGGTATATCAAATAAGCACTTAGCCTCATGGCGAACATGCTTGTTATGGCAACAATCACATGCATACAATATGCTAAAGCAAAAAATGCTTACCACAAACATCCGAGGCGAGCCAAAAGAAAGAAAATAGTTAGAAAAAATGCATGATTCTAAATAATGCAACATGACTAATGCAACACACACAATCATGCAATTAATAGGCTCGGCTACTAGCATGGCATGTGAGTCAATCCAAGACATGCGATAAAGCACGCATTCAAGCAAGGAATTTGAAATTGACATTGATTAGTATGATGAGCCGAACCTTTACGCATGCAAAAAAAAAAAAAAATGGATGTGAGTCATGGAAAATGATAAGGAAAGTATGATGTCATATGCAATCTATCATAAGCGAGTAAATAAAAGGGAGAAAGAATGAGGGTAGGAAGACATACACAATATTATAAGTTTGCCGTCATGTAAGAGAGTCCGAATGAATGTCCTAATTAAACTAATTATTACAACACCAAATAAATTAATTGACTACACTAAATAATTATTACAAATTAGGATTAAGCTAACTAATTAATGAACTAGCTATTACAAATTCAAAGCTAATTAATTGCAACACACTACATATGAAATCTAATTTGCGCGGGAAACGACGTACCACACATATAACCAAGAACATCCTCTCAGAAACGCCTCTGTTTTGGTACTTGATTCTATTCTTTCCGCAATTAGAAAATAATTATGTTTTTACCTCAGCTCTTGCTCTATTTTGTAGAAAAAAATGCTATTGTTTGCTTAACAAAAGATGGCCAGCCGGCCAAGGAAAGTGGTCATCCGGATTCAGGGGGGGCCGATCGGCCACTAATTTTGGCTCTCCTTATCATGAAATTGATGAAGGGAAGAGCAGAATCGATTTACAAATCATCAATGGTCACAAGGTTGTTGCATGATGATCCATGAATCGATGAGATAAAGACTCAATGAATGAAGATAAAAGACCAACAAAACCTCTTCCCTATCATGGAGTTACCTCAAGAGAAGTGGTAAACATTGATTCTTGAGCCATTATCATCACTAAAGAGTATAAAATGACTCAAGACTCAATGGGTTCAATATAACGTCCGATTGAACACAACTCAATTTTATTATCTTGTGCCTCTTTCAATCCAATTATTAGCCCTTTTTATTACCTTTCTATTCTTTAATCATTTTAGTCCAAAAATGAGAGTTATGTTCGCTAAAGAAGGGAAGTGTCAAACAAGAAGTTATTCTTGGCATGAGAGAGATGTAATGCCTTGGTAATCAACGTCCAAAGGGATTAAACCATTAAGCATGGAAGGTCTTTTTCGTATGCCTTAAACAACAATTGTTTGAAACAACTCTCAAATAAAGAAAACCAAGAAAGGAGGGAGAGTGCAGAGATGGTTATTGCAAGTGTGAGTACATGTATGAAAGTTATGAAATAAAAGCTATCAACTCAAATAGGTTGGTGTCTAAGGCCTAAACCACCAAACCTATGAGGACTTATAACAACAAAAACCTACTATGCAAAGCATAAACTAAATAAACACACTAAAATAGTCCTAAAAGATAGCAAAACAATGTTGGAATTTAGTTTGAAAAGCTAAGAAAGTAAGCAAAAATGAAAGAGAATTAAAGCTAATAAGCAAGCTTAAGGGAGAGGTGGCTAACCCCTCAATTCTTGGACCTCAAAACCACATATTTTAGCCTCTGAAAACTCTAAAAATCAGTAGCTAAAAGTTGAGAAATAGTGGAAAACACAAGGATAAAAGCTTATGGAATAAGGTTCAAAGAAGGGTGGTTAACCCCTCCACATTTGGTAGCTTTAAATCACAAGTTTCAGCCCACTAAAACAGTATAAAAAAAGTTAGAAAAGAGAGGGAAGAAGTAGTGTAAAGATGGCCAAAGTTATACCTCTTAAAGAGGAGTTACTCTTTTGTTCACAAACCACAAGATATCAACTCTCAAGGGCTGAGATTTTAGCTTAAGAACCTCAGCAAGAAGCCCAAAAAAAATGGTTTAGGAAGTGTATGTATAGTGTATGTATATTGCAAGATAGAGAGGGAGAGTGTTTGGCAAGATTTTGAGCTTTGGAGAATTTTTCTAACCTAAAACCATAAGGGATGGTCAAGTATATATAGAAAAATAGGATGCTATCTCAAAAATATCTGTATTGAGTCAGCTGGTGCAGTG